GTAGGGCTTATATTAAAATCATTTTTAAAAAATTACAGTATAGGGCTTATTTTCAGGGTAGGGCCTATTTTTGGGGAAACACGGTACAGTATGGATAGTGTTCACTACAGAAATGGATTTCTATGATGTCATTATAAGAAATGGCCACTAGAGAGAGCCACATACCACTCTATGTATAACGTTCACTATTAAAATAGTGTTCACTCTAATCTGTGTTTTCCAGCATCTGTTGGAGGTGGCTTGGAACCGATCCCCCTTGGGTATGGGGATCCTACTGTATTCTGCAAAAATGGAAGGTTGTTCTGCAGGGTTGTTGTTACATAAAACTGGACCTCTACCTTGCTCCGTCTCTGTGTTCTGTGTTATCCCAAATCTGGGACCTGAAGGGGCTTGCATGTTCTTAAAATTAATGTTTTCCTCCTTCCAGAATAGAATTGCCTCAGATAAGTGTGCCTTGACCATCACACTTGAAAATTAAGCCCGCGTTTATCATTCACTAGCCAATCACAAATAAAAGCACACTAAATGCAAAATACAAAGGCAAGAAAGATGTCACCTTATGAAAGAGAAATAGTTTTCACCAGTTGGCAGAGCACCACTGAGAAAAAAGAAGGCAGCTTTTCAGGCTCCCATTCATTTCTTCCTTTAACTCCATTACTGATGCTTCTTGGTTAGCATCTTGTTCTGCAACTCCTCCAGTGCAATGCAAGTGATGGCACCGGGTACAGCAATTGCCACTAATTAAAGAGTTTCATTTTTTGACCTCCTCTCATTGCGTGTGAGCTGTGCACAACCCAAAATCAAAGTTGGAACTAATTAATATCAGCAATCTGCTGCTGCTGACATAACTTGTACTGACAAAACTATGGACTAGGCTATGAGCCTTTTTATCTTTTGCATTTGCCTGCCACTTTCAATTGCTCTTCTCATTCCTATTCATGAGAGTGAGACATCGTCCTTTTAGTGATCCTCACCTGTAAGAGAAGGTATCTCCTATTGCTCTCAGTGAGAGTTTATGCAGCTGCAGGAACACTTTTTGGGCAGTGTCTGCCAGAGATATTGGCAAATCTTTGGGTCCGAGTCCCAAGTCTGAGTCTGAGTCTTTAGTCCCAAGTCCAAGTTCCTGTTAAAAATAAGCTCCCCCCCCATAAAAAAAGGAGGGAGTGGGTGGGTTCTGAGTTGTGAGATGAGTCCGAGACATTGGGAAAAAAGACAACAACCTGAGTCTGGTTGCTGGTCTCCCATCCCTGATTTCTGCACAGCTAACGTGCCATAGCTGCTGCCTCACTGAATAGAATTTCAATAATTAGAAGCATTGGATTCAGTAATTGGAAGCACTGTTTGTATCATGGTGTTTGCTGCCCATCAACGAGGCAGTCCTATGTTTGTTGTGTAGGTGTGTCACAAAGGGCAAATACACTCACTTTATGGAGGGACCTTTTGTGCTCTTTGTAGGACACACACACACACACACACACACACACACACAAAGATATGCAATTTGCTTTCTTGCTGGAGGAAAGATGTTGGGACGGTTAACAATCCACAGCCTGTATGAACAGGTCAAGAAAACTGGCTTCATCAAGGTCCAGTAAATTAACGAGATTGCTCTGTGAGTACCTGCAAGTCTAGATGCACATTTCTTCTCCTTTCAAGCCTTTTATGGCTACCATGAGGAGAAAAACGTGCACCTATATTTGCAGGGACTTTGGGATGGACCGAGAGAAGGCTAAGGAGAAAAATGTGCACCTATATTTGCAGGCACTTTGGGATGGACTGAGAGAAGGCTTTAGGAATTACTGGTTATGTCTCATCTCCGCATCCTTAATTCTCAAACTTGTTGCTATCCTCTGAAGATGCCGGCCACAGAGAGTGGCGAAACGTTAGGAAGAACAACCTTCAGAACACGGCCAAAGAGCCCGAAAAACCCACAACAACCATTAGATCCCGGCCGTGAAAGCCTTCACGAATATATTGTTGCATTCACTTTCTATTACTTTACTCCACATGTAGGATAAAATAAGACATACCCACAGACTATGTTCTCTGTCACTTATGTTCAAGAACTCATCTATTCTTGAAGTGCCACAAATAGACAATACAAGACTGAGGGCGAAACCCTTGTTGGCAAAGACAGAGTCTAATGGCACTGTGCCCAATCCTGGGATTGTAATTAAGTGTGCTAGAAATTGACAGCAGGGGGCCTTCCACAGCACAAGGAGATAGTGAGTGCTTTGTGAAAATTCAGTTGAAAAGACAACCACACATACAATAGGCTGTTGTCTATGCTGTAAAATTGAATAGATTTTGGGCTAAAATTTCAGAGTTTTTGGTGAAGACTCTTAGAGATGCAACAAATGGGCCAATGATTAATCAACAGTCTACTACACTACCTTGACCTCAATTTTAAATGTAGCCGGCAGTTTAGTATGATGAAATGCGAAATGAATAGGGGAATGAAAAGTCTAACAGCTTTTATTGGCACAAAGATAATCTGACCAAACAATTAAATGCTGGAAATGAACTTCCATTGACCATAATTTTTTTTTAAAAAAAAACACAAATCTTGAAACGTACACAATTTTAGCCTGATACTGTCATTCATTTTCAGGAAAGGCTTAACAAAGCAAACCAAGCCCATTTACATTTTTTTAAAAAAACAAGACACCATTCCCCTGAAATTAGATTTTTGTTGGCTAAAAGCAGACAATTAAAACACGTTCTCTTTTGCAGATGGAGCAAAGTAAGCAATAATAGAACCTTAATAGGATTTTCCTTCGCCAGAGGGGTGTGAGGTGATTTTATTTTAACTATAATTAATGGTCATGTAATGGTGATAATGAGCTGAAATGAAAGCACAATAATGAGAAGATATTTCCATTTGTGTCTGTGATGGGGAGAGAGGAAGTTGGAGGACAAAATGAACAAAGACCTGTTTTTGTTTTTTAAGTGTGTGCCTATGACAGACACACACACACTCAGTTCACTAGGCTTAAACCCGATCTGCATTTTGTGAAGCAAAAACAGATTCAAAGCAGTGGTTCACACTGTGGTCTGGAGAAACCAAGAATGCTGTGGAAGCTTATAAGGGCTGCTCTGTGAGAAAGGTGGGGTTGGTTGGCAAACTTCCTTGGAAGATAATCTATCCAACATGACTGATCATACGCAGTAGCTCCTGGCTACCTTAAATCTGCCTTAACTTCACATGGCATAACAGATTTGCTATCTCTCAAATTCTTTGCATTAAGAGCACACGAATGATCAGAGTAGAGATGGGGGTGGTCCTCAACCTTGGGCCTCCAGATGTTCTTGGACTTCAACTCCCAGAAATCCTGGCCAGCAGAGGTGGTGGTGAAGGCTTCTGGGAGTTGTAGTCCAAGAACATCTGGAGGCCCAACGTTGGGGACCACTGTATTAGACTACATTAAATTAGGCATCCTTTAGTCTCAAGAGACTATGGTAATGGGCTCTGTATGGAGGACCTGGAACAGCATCCAGTGTGGCTGAGGAGGCCAATTCAAGAGTGAAAATCCCTTCCACACTGAAGACAAATACAATCTGTACCCCGTCCAGCTCCCTGATTTTGCTGGTTTCGGGACTGCCTCTTGGCCTCGGCCTGCTAGACAAGGGTCCCTTCAAAATGGGAGAGGCCATGATGCACCACCTGCCTCCAGGCTGAATGCTTAGACGTCAAGGTTCCCCATCTACTGAGGTCCATCCCTAAGGCCTTCAGATCCTGCTTGCAAACATCCTTGTATCACAGCTGTGGTCTCCCTCTGGAGTGATTTCCCTGCACTAATTCTCCATACAGGAGATCTTTTGAAATCCAACCATCAGCAATTCTCATGACATGCCTGAGCCAATGTAGATGTCACTGTTTCAGTAATGTAAGCATCCTAAAAATTCCAGCTCATTCTAGGAGGGAGGTGAGTCCATGCCCTGGCCCATGGGCCAGGTAGTCATATATGAATACCCACACAGAACTGGCTCTGGCCCAGTGGGGCCAGACTGTACACTCATGTGGCCGGAGGCAGGGGCAGCTCTGCTCTCCCATCCAATCACTCCAGAACTCACAGCTGGCTATCCACTCATGAGCCTGTCAGGGAGACTCAGCTTCCCTCCTTCTGCCAGGAGTGGAGAGCTGACCGTGAGCTCCAGAACGATTGGGAGGGAGAGAGGAGCCAGCTGATCCCAAGCCAGGCTCTAGATGGCCTTTTTTTTAAAAAAAGGTCAGCACTAGAGATGGGCACAAACCATATGTTTGTTTACTGGCCAAACAGGCATTTGCTGTTCAAAACCCCAACTGCTCTGGTGGGCGCCCATTTGGAGGCAGCATTTGGCTTCCCTGCCTTGCCTTGGAGGAAGCAGTAAAAGAGAAAGAATTTCAACTGGCAAGAAATTTGTTTGGAGTACTTCTTAAGGCAGAGTAGAATTATTTAAATAAATAAATAAATAAATAAATAAATAAATAAATAAATAAATAAATAAATAAATAAATAAATAAGAGTTGATATGAAACAATAGAGGAGGAAGGAACATTACACCGTTGCTTAGGCTAGGATTGTGGGGAAAGACAAACAAAGAAAACAAGGAAAGTTTTGATCTCGTCAGACAAACATGGGAGGATAATGACTGCTGTGGATCCCTTAACGTAAACATTTTGAATAGCACACTTAGTGTATATGAGTCAAAGCTTCAGACTAAGAAATATTGCATCAGCATTGTTAATGACAAGATCCTTAAGAGGAAAGTATTTCATTAGGTTCTATGCACTATTCATACTGTGCTGTCCTTCATAAAACCAAGACTGCCTCTGATAAGTAAAAGTATACAACATACATTAGGAACTATAATAAAAATAATGGAACGTCACACAATTTCCTCATTAAAGCATTTGACATTTGAAGCCAGCCACTGCCGCTCAAACATGCTTGTCTGCTATCTCTTTCCTGCAGGCACATGTGCCATCAAAGGCAAACATTAACAAACTGACATCTGACCTTTTATTTTCTCGCAATGCTTTGTCTCCTTTCTTCCACGTGATGGTAGGTTTGGGAGAACCTTGCGGCTTGCACTCGACAGCAACTTCCTGGCCCTTAGTCACAATGATTATTTTCTTCAGCTGACTTGGGGGGAAAGTTGGAGCAGACGCTGTAGGAAAAAAAAATGTCACGCCATTAACAGTTGAACTAAACTCCTCCATGGATAATTTCACAAATTTCGCAATATCCATTTCTTTCTTTCCTTCTTTCTTTTTGGTTTGGATGAATAACCTTAGGAAAAATCCTACGGCCAATAGGAAAGAATGAAAAGCAATACAGAAAATGACAATTAAATCAATTAAGACTGGTCATAAACTTTCAAAGAACTGGTTAGAATAAATGTCCTGGAAATATAATGTTATAATGTTATGCTATGTGCTATTGCCATTGTGCTTAAGCTAATCAGCCTTTGAAAGTTTATGACCAGTGTTAATTAATATAATTGTCATTTTCTGTTTTGCATTTCATTCTTTCACACCCCTACAATTATAACTTATGTCTAGAGAAAATTTTATTCCACACAGCTGAAATAGTGAGCTATGCCAACGAAAGTGGACACCAAATTAAATTTGTTCTTCTTAGAAGTTGTCTGTTGTTTTGGTCTGAGGAGAAGAGCCTCTGAAGCTTGTGGCTGCTTTTTACATGATGAAGAACATGATCAAGAAGCTTGGATTTCAGGGTTATGAATAACATGCAGAAATTTCCATGTGTAGCATGTAGTTCTGGAGGGCAACAGCAGAGGGCGGTAGAATACCTCTCCTTTGCTTAAACACCTGCACAGTTTTAAACACCTGAACAGTCCTAATAGCAATAATTACATGTCATCACATCAATTTTGATGTACAGGAATTTCTAGGTAGAGAGTACTCAGAAGTAGTTAACATGCCCTCTTCTTCTGGGGCATCCTGGAACTGTGCAGCTTGCCCGAGGCTATACTGGTTGGCTGTTCCCCTAGGAGGCACAGTGGGGAATTGAACACCCAACCTCTGGCTCTGCTGAACTATCCAGGCCTCCAGTCTTTAAAAAAAACCAGAGTAGAAACCACTGAAAGAATAATAAAAGCAGGGTGGAATGTGTGAGCTACCAAGTATGCATGTACATATAGAGGTGTTCGGAGGTAAACGCAGACCCATCTTTGATTGCATCCACTTTTTAATGTCCAGATTAATGCAAAAAGCCTGAGATGAAAGGGCAGCTCCTAAATTTGACTTATCTGATTTGTTCTGACACTCAGACACAATAAACTATTTGTATAGAACTGAACAGAAATGGGGGGAGATTTTCCCTTCAGTTCATTTTCAAAATAGGGATTCGCTAAAATGTTGAAGAAATTGACAGGTTAACAACTGGGTGCAGGGTTTTGAGAGCTTATTTCCTGAACATCAGGCTTTGTATCCCTTAAATTTCAGTTATATTTGTGCTGAACTGAAAGCCTCTTTCTCACTTGTGTACCCATATATTGAAAAGCACTGAGTTATTCCTAGAATATTCTTTGACATGCGTTGGCATTTCAGTCTCCTGAGAGTTAGCAGTGGAATTAACGGTGTGGCTAGGTTGATGGATTCTGATTGGATGTCACATACTGTATTCTGTTTGCATTTCTTGAATCCACTGAGAATTCCAGCACCCTCCCCTCGATGGGGACAGCCTATGGTCCCCAGTGAGTGAAGCTGACAGTACACTGCTTCTTGGTGTTATGGTTCACCCCAAAACTGTGCAGAGTATTCTTTTTCGTTAAAACCGATGGCTGGAAAAAATATCCCTATGCTAAAGCATTAGATTCATTGGGACAATTTTCATATTTTTATTTTTTTGCCTGTAAGAAATAAAATAAAATGGGCAAATATTTAAACTTGGGGAAAATTTTCAAGTGATGACACTTCTGGTGCTAATGTGGAAGTTGAGTCATGGCAACTGGCCTTCTTTCTTGTTAGGTTTCAACCTAAACAAGTCCAGTTGCCACGACTCAACTTCCAAATAACCTCACTTGGAGAATCTTCACAGATATTCTGGTGCTAATGTTGTAGAATTCCTGCCCTCTAAAACTAGTTTCGTGTGAATTCTGCCACCATAAGTGACCTCAGATCTTCTATCCTTGTTCTTCAGGGCTAACAACCTATTCTCTTAATGCTAGCAGCCTAAAATTCCCAAACTTGTTATGCCACCATCTACCAGCCTTTCACAGAGATCTGCTTTGGAGAAATTCCTGGTATATCACACTATATACAGTATATCCAGTGTGTATTTTGAAGGAGAAACCATGGAACTGAATTATATACATACCCAAAATCCTCAACTCAGCACTGGTATAAATGGCTCCATGCTTGTTTTCCGCTACACACTGGTACATTCCAGCATCAGATTGATTGACACTGTGGATCATCAGTACACCATTAACCATCTCAATCCTGCTCTGTAATGGAATAGAAAAATAATTCTACAAAAGCAAACAAAACCAGGAAAAAAAAGAGTTGGGCTTTCAGCTTTAGGTGAAAGAAGGAAAAGAAAAAAACATTAATGAAATTCCTCTGCATGAAAGCTGGTTTAGTGAAGGCAAAGATTATGTTTTCTTTGTATTTTTCTGTTCCTTACTCTGTATTAATGCTAAAGTGCTGTATATATTCATTCATACAACAGATGTTGCTGTGGTTATCAGCTTTCATTCTAAGGGTAATAAGAATATATCTAATAACGTGAAATATCACAGTTCTGCACAACTGACTCATTGCTGTCTTCTGTCTATAGCATGAGGCTCCAATACTTTGTCCATCTCATGAGAAGAGAGGACTCCCTGGAAAAGACCTTAATGTTGGGAAAGTGTGAAGCAAGAGGAGAAGAGGACGACCGAGGATGAGATGGTTGGACAGTGTCACCAAAGCGACCAACATGAATCTGACCCAACTCCGGGGGGCAGTGGAAGATAGGAGGGCCTGGCGTGCTCTGGTCCATGGGGTCACGAAGAGTCGGACATGACTAAACGACTAAACGAACGAACGAACGTCTATAGCATGATGTGAACATCATGCAGTCATCTATCATTTTCCCTGAACCTTTCTGGAATTTCTTCCTTTCCTTGTTTCATACTGTTAGGTTTTCTTCTTTTCTTTCAATGGTATGCATTTTAACATTTGCATTTTAAAGTGTGTGCATTTTCCCACACATAGTTTTATTTCTCCAAAGCATCCCAGAAGCCTTTTAAAGTTGTAACATAGTATGTATTTCCACTAGGAACAAGTCTTTGGAGGTGCTACTCTTCTTGAGCTTGTCTAGTTCAATGGAATTATTTTCCACCCCTAGTGTACAGTTCTGAGAAACCATGAAACCTTGGTTCTGTGCACCACAATGAGAATAAAGATGTGGGTAGAGCAGACTACTGTATTTTGTAACCCATCTCAAAAATAGCCCATTATTCTGTCCATAGGGAACACATTAAATCTCTTTGGGTGACAAAAGCAGGGGAAATGTCAAGAACTTAAGATACAATCTGTTTTTTGTTTTTGTTTAGCCATTAAGTCATGTCTGATTCTTCGTGACCCCATGGACCAGAGCACGCCAGGCCCTCCT